GGGGGCAATATGCTGACTCTGTAAACCGCTTAGAGAGGGCTGAAAGCCCTATGAAGTGGTATATAAGTCTAACTGCTATTGCTATTGCTATTGATAACTTTTGGGGGTGCAAACATTTTTTGGGGAAAAATCTGTATGTAGCCCAATGGCTGCAAATCAATCTTCCCTATATTACACGATTATTTTAACATAGCATATTATCTAGACCTGTTTTACTTGTCCCAGCTTCTGCCAACCTAGCAGTTCGAAAGCATGTAAAAATGCCAGTAGAAAAATAGGGACCACCTTTGGTGGGAAGGTAACAGCCTTCCGTGCGCCTTCGGTGTTTAGTCATGCTGGTCACATGACCACGGAGATGTCTTCAGACAGTGCTGGCTCTTTGGCTTTGAAACGGAGATGAGCACCGCCCCCTAGAGTCAGGAACGACTAGCACCTATGTGCTAGGGGAAACCTTTACCTGGCTCTTCGGCTTTGAAACAGAAATAAGCACTGCCCCCTAGAGTCTGGAACGACTAGCACATATGTGCGAGGGGAACCTTTACCTTAGTATTATAATGCGGTAAGTTAGCAACAATAAATATTTTGCATATTCTTTATAAAGCCGATAAGCTCTATTCTTTCTGTTTTCACAATCCCGAAGCGTTTCACACAGAGCTGAAGGCTTAGCCCCGAGAAAAGCTTAAAATACAATGGAAAGTACTGTGTTATGGGTAAGAAGAATTGTTTCTAAACACCTCTACTTTTCTTGAAACAGCATTTTCAAATTATGCTACCATTTAAAAGGTGGAAGCCCAGGATATATCATTTCCTAACTTCAAAGATTTCACACAATAATTGGGTCATTTACCCCCCCCCCAAAAAAAAACCAACTCAAATTGCAAGCAAACCAAATTAACTTCTCTTAATCCTTTATGGAAAAAATTAAGTATCTTCTTTGATCAAATATTTGGCCCCCAATATGGCAAAAAAACAATATTATCTAAATCTGGCAGTTTCCAGAAGTATGGATCTTGCCTTCCAGAATTCCTCAGTTAGGGAGTAGAATTCTATCATTCTGTATGTTGTAAAGCAGGGCTCACCAACCTTTCGGACCTCAGGGACCACTAAATTCATAATTTTAACTCCTATGGACCACTAATATGATCTGGCTAATGACCAGCTGAATGGGCGTGGCAAGGTGGCCGTGTGACTGGGTGGGCGTGGCCAACTCAATGTCACTCACATCAAGGAGTCAAGGGGCGCCTTGCCAGCCTCTACTCGCCACTCCTTGCTTGCCCACCTGGGCTCCTTAAAGCCCCAACAGGAAGCAGTTGCTGGAGCTAAGTAGCCACTACGAGAAAGAATTGGCAAAACAGCTCAGTTCAAATTGGATCTGACCGACAAGGAGGCTCAGCAGAAGCCCCTCACTGAGGACTACGAACATTGGCTTTCCAAGCAGAAGAAAGACCTGCAGAACTGCAAGACCAGGTACCGGCGCCTGGAGGCTCAGAGGGTTGAGATGGTCAGCCAGTTCCAGACCATGATGCAGTTCCACTGGAACAATGTCCTCTGGCTCAGTGGCGCTTCCCTCCAGCCTTCGCCCAAAGCCCCCCACCAGGAGACCAAAGCAGACCCCAAGTCAGAATTTCAGCCCCCCTCCAACCCACACAAAAAGACCCCAAAGGAGGAGACTCTCTGCAGCAACACAAACGTTCATTGCACGTATCCATCCCAGGGGGCGTAGTTTGAGGACCCCTTAATTAGTGCAATTTTAAAAAATGCAAATAATTTTTCTGAGGACTATCAAAATGTTCTCGTAGACCACCAGGGTCCACAGACCACCAGTTGGTGACCGCTGTTGTAAAGGGTGGAAAACTTGACATAACTGATTTTAAGCCTTCAGAAAAGGCTGCTTTCACGAACCACTAGGAACTATAGAGATGGACAAGATCTCCACGTTCTTTTTTTTTTTTTTAATTTTTAAAAAAGATTTTATTGGTAAAAAGAAAATACAACATCCATAACTTGTAAAAAAACAATACAACTACATTTCGAGATATTCCCATACTATCAAATCATTATAAACATCAAAGGTTAGGTATCTTATTCCTTCCCTCCCTCTTCTCTTCCCTCATTTCTTCTTTTCTATACCCTTTTCTTCCCTCCCCCCCCTACTTCCTTCTCCCCTGCCTTCCCTCCTTTCTTTTCTCCTTTCCTCCTTTCCTTCCCCCTCCTTTCCCTCCCTCGGTCCCCCCCTCCTTCTCACATACCTTCCCTCCTTCCCTTCCTCTTTCCCTCCTCCTTCCTTTTCTCTTAATCTCCCTCCTTTCCTCCCTCCTTCCTTCCTTCCTTCCTTTCAACTCTCAAGTTCTTTCTGATTAATGCTAACTTTCCCTGGATTTTTCTGTGCCTACCACTAGCTGCAAGTAGCAGTAATGTCTTCTCAAGTTAGCCAGCTATAAAAACAAGCCCTGTCTATTAAATGTGCCAGACAAAAACAGATTGAAGGAAGATAGAGCTACAGTGTGTTAACTTTATGTATCTGTATCACAGCTGTGCAATCATTTTTTTTTCAATCAAAAGGGCTGTTTTTACCCTTTGAGAGGCATAGCAAGCCAAGGGACACATACATGCAGCCAAGGTAAAGACTAAATTTGATTTGATGTATAAGTGCTGTATTTGATGTATTAAAATTACATTAATTTTTTAAAAAAATATACGATTACTTCTCCAAGTAATGATTTCCCCCTCCGGCATCTATCAACGTTGTCATCAAGCCTTGGATTATGGCCTTTTTTCTACATGTAAAGTGGTAAAGGTTTCCCCTAGCACATAGGTGCTAGTCGTTCCTGACTCAAGGGGGCAGTGCTCATCTCTGTTTCAAAGCCAAAGAGCCAGCGCTGTCCGAAGACGTCTCTGTGGTCATGTGGCCAGCATGGCTAAATGCCGAAGGTGCACAGAACACTGTTACCTTCCCACCAAAGTGGTCTCTATTTTTCCGCTTGCATTTTTGCATGCTTTCGAACTGCTAGGTTGGCAGACAATGGGAGCTCACTCCATTATGCGGCACTAGGGATTCAAACCGCCAAACTGTTGACCTTTCTGATCGACAAGCTCAGAGTCTTGGCCACTGAGCCACTGAGTCCCCCCTTTTTTTCTACACGTATTAAACCCCAAACAAAGTAGCATCTGCTTCATTCCCAGCCACCAGCACCTCCTCAACCATACCTATGATAAAATTGGTCTTGGAAGATGACTGTCCAAACTGTTGTTCAATATATTTTGGCTTATAGGTCACCATGCCAATGAGAGAATTGAACTGGACGATGCTGGAGCAGAGATATAAGAAGTAAACTGGATTTCCAAGGAGGCTTTTCAAGGAAGGCAGGAACTCTAGAAAAGGAAATGGATACGTGTTGGTTGGACAGAAGTGAGAAATCAACGTGGATGACAGCTTGTTTCAAAATCGGTAACAACTGTTCATGGGAAATTGGAAGCAGACTTAGCTGTACTCAGATCCTTTCCACACAACAAATATTCATAATACCATATTTTTCAGAGTATAAGACGCACCTTTCCCCCCACAAAGAGAGTGAAATCTGGGTGCGTCTTATACACTGAATAAAGCATTTTTGGCCTCCTAAAACCCCACCTCGTGCATCCCATTTTTTGCAAAAATGGACACGCAGAAGGTTTGGGAGGCCTGCAGAATGCTCCTGGGGGTTCGGGAGGGCAAAAACAAGTGAAGAAAGGCCCATTTCCCACAAAAACGGGGTTGTTTTTGCCCTCCCAAGCCCCCAGGAGCACTCTACAGGCCTCCCAAATGGAGGCTGTTTTTCGCTTCCCAAATCCCCCACGCGGCATGTTTTTGCCCTCCCTGGCCGCCAGGGGCACTTTGCAGGCCTACCAAACTATCTGCATGCAGGGTTTGGGAGGCCTGCAGAGTGCTCCTGGGGGCCGGGGAGGGCAAAAACTTTTTTTTTAAATTTACTTCTTCAAAATCTTGGTGCGTCTTATACTGCGGTGCGTCTTATAGTCCAAAAAAATACGGTATATTGCTTTCACTTTTTGTCATTTAGGAGGCCTTTGACTTTTGCTGAAAAATGTTTATATCTCCATCAAAGTGCCCGCAGCTCTTCAAATGGTCAGCATGTGGGTCATTGCAACCCACACGAAACTCGTTGGATCCATTCAGGATCCCACTGCCAATGGGCCAATTGAGTTATACTTGTCTTAGTTAGAGGTAATGCATTTGTTGTCTTCCAGATGTTTTGGACTTCATAACCTATTGGCTTTAGACTGACTGGTCAATAGCAAGTAGTTATGAGAACTGACTTGCAAAGCTTCTATAGGACATTGGGTTGTCGCCAATAACTCTCTTGTTCAGAGCAAGGCAGTACTTTGTGCTGAGACTATTCCTTTTTTATTTTTATTTAATTCTTTATTTGTACCCCACCTTTATTACTTTTACAAGCAATTGAAGGTGGTGAACAAATCCAACACACTTTCCTCCTCCTATTTTCCCCACAATAACCACCCTGTGAAATGAGTTGGATTGAGAGAGAGAGAGTGACTGGCCAAAGTCTCTCAGTTGGCTTTCATGGGGAGGGACTAGAACTCACAATCTCCTGGTGATTGGCCTAAAGTCACCTAATGGGATTTCATATCTAAGTTGGGATTAGAACTCACAGACTCCTGCTTTCTAGTCTGGTGCCTTAACCACTAGACCACGAAGCCGGCTCTCCAAACTAGTTATCCAAATTAGTGATGTAGAAAATGACTACCACTAACTAGGGTATACAAAACCTTTGCCAGACCAATTCTCGAATACAGCCCGTCTGCCTGGAATCCACACTGTTTATCAGACATTAATATAATTGAGCAGGTCCAGAAGTATTTCATGAGAAGAGTACCCCACTCCTCTGCTTACAATAGAATTCCTTATGCCACCAGGCTCGAAATTTTGGGCTTGGACAATCTGGAGCTAGGCCGCCTACCGTGTGACCTGAACACAGTACACAAAATTGTCTGTTACCTGTCAACAACTACTTCAGCTTCAACCTCAATAATACACGAGCCAACAATAGGTTCAAACTCAAGGTAAACCACTCCAAACTTGATTGCAGAAAATACGACTTCAGCAACAGAGTGGTCAACGCCTGGAATGCTCTACCTGACTCCGTTGTTACATCTTCAAACCCCCCAGAGCTTCAACCTTAAACTGTCTCTACCGTGGACCTCACCCCATTCCTAAGAGGTCCGTAAAGGGGGTGTGCATAAGCGCACCAATGTGCCTACTCGGCAATGTGCCTCGGGGGAGGGCCTTCTCTGTTGCAGCTCCAGCCCTCTGGAACGATCTCCCCGTTGAGATTCGGACCTTCACCACCCTTCAGGCTTTCCGCAAGACTAGCAAGACCTGGCTGTTCCAGCAAGCCTGGGGCTGATGAGTTCCCAGCCCCACTTGAATTGTTGCGACTGTTGCATTGTTTTTGAGTTGTTTTTTGTATTTGTCCTTGACTTTGTCCGTTGTTGTATTTCTCCCTCCCCCATCTTGTTTGTTAGCCGCCCTGAGTCCCTCGGGAATAGGGCGG